CAGAATTTTGATATTTGGAGTTAAAAAGGAAGTGGAGACAGACTCCAAAATTACAGTAAGGCAGAAGCAAAAATTCAAAAGAAGGAGTAAATGATTTAGTTGGGGAGAAGCATAGAAATTGATATGATTGCAATCAATTTCCAAAGAAAGCTTCAAAACATTCATGGACAAAATATTGAGTGAAAAGACAATGAATTTTTCCACAAAATTTGAAGCCTTCTCATATATCTAAGTGTAGTTGACAGATTCTATCTATTCTATCTATCTATTTATCTACCTACCTATTCATTTAATTATTCATAATTTTGTTGATAGATGGTCTGCTATTATAAGGAGCTGGAAGAAAACAAAGAAACAAGACATCTAATACCCCATCAAGGAATTCAAGGTTCCCATGAGAGAGAGATATACAAACAATAGCCATGCAAGGAAAAGACTACCCTAAACACCTAATACTGAATACTGCATAGTGCAAAGGTGGATTGTGGAACCATTTAATTTAGTCTGAAGGTGGGTAAGAGAAAATTTCCTGAGCTGGTCTTCCTAATATGGTGATGACTGATGAAAAAAAAGTTTAGACATACTCAGTTTAATATACCAAGACTGAGAAATAGAGATATCTACAAAAAATATTATAACTTAGTTCGTTATACGAAGGTATGGTTTTTCAAGACAAAAAGATCATCTAAAGATATACAGATATGATGTGACTATCCCATGAGGTATTTCCAGGGGCATCTGACGTCAGTTGAATAACTTGCCCCCTTATTCCAATCTTTCTGAGAGAACTTGGTGTGATTTCTCTTTAGCAGAGTTTTTTCTGTTTTGCTTTTGTTGTTTGCTTTTCTTTTAGAAATTATCCATGAATTTATTACCATTACACAGTCAATTATTTAATATGGTCCTTCTAGCCAAGGTCCTCCATTTTGTGATGTATTATAAATCTAAACTTTAAGCCAGTGATTATGGCCCCATTTTTAGTGAATTGCTTATTATTTTAATGAAGAAGGACTAGGGTGCTGGTTCACTACCTTACTAGAGTATGGTGGTGTGGGCTGCATCCATTATATAATAGGAATGCTCTGACAAAATGCTCTCCTGCTCTGAGTCATGCATCTGGTTCATATTTGCCTGATGTCTACTTCTTGGGATGAAGGCCACTGGCCTCTTGTATGACTTGATTCACTTGTTTCTTCAGCCTTTTAACCCAGTCATCTGACCTGCTGGTTTGTGCTCATCAGACCTGGCAACCATGCACATAATGAAAAGCCTCCAGACTGACACCTGACCCAGAGATCTGGGACTTAGTAGGATTCACCGCTGCAAGCATCATTTTCTCAACAGTTCGTGAGTTCTGTGAGATGTTTCAGTGAATAATGAAACCCAAAGACAAGAGAGAGAACTAAGGGGAGGGGCATTGATATTGGGTTGTATAGCAGATTGGAAAAGTTAAACACATTGGATATCTTTTATTCCTATCTCATAGGGAGTAGTTTTGTAGCTCTTTCTGAAATAAATTACTCTTTAGAAGCTCAAATGTTTACTATTTTTCTACTAGACATCTCTATCTCCCTTAGTTTTGATGCAGTTTC